GCCCAGAGGTTGACTGGCAAGGAATGCCGAGGAAGACCTGCAGTCGTAGAATCGAAGTTCAAAAGACTTGTATGGTTGGATAGCCAAGTGCAACGCCGGGCTGAATACAAGATGTACAGTTAAAGGTGGGTGGGTTGTACGATCCAATATTTTGCTATTGGTCGGTTGAAGGAGTGATCGAGATTGAGTTATTTAATACAGCCCTTACACCCTATCCCACAAGTCATCTGAAAGGGTTCTTCTGAAAGTCACAAGCTGACAGAGTTTGATGGAGATAATCTTTCGGTTGGGTGTCCAGAAGTTGATGGATGGGCAGAAGGAAGGAAAGTGGCAAATGCTGGCGAGTTTGATTGTCTGCCTCTGGGAGATACCGCACTGAGAAGGAATGGCGATGCCGCTTCCGCCGTGGTGAGTTGGGATATGATGTGTGTACTGTGGCAACTTGCGCAATCGAAAGTAATACTTGTTTTTGGTTTTTTTTTATCTTGTGCTTGCTTCTGGATATCGCTGAGTGGCGGTTTGTCAACGATTTCAGGTTGAGAAATCCATTCTGAGTGGATTTCAAGAGGATGGATTGGGGGATGGATGGATGGATGGATGGATGGATGGATATTGAAACGGAGAGTGGGTCGGAGTGAGTGATTGAGAACGAAGGCTGTTGAGGATTAGAGCGCTAACCAATCAGACACAGATCGCCCGACAGACAGCCTAGGATAAGCAATCTTCCAGTCGATGAAGTTCAAGAGCCCAGTCTGTGGTACCGAGGGTGAAGAATTGCCGACTGATCCGGAAAGTGGGCGAGAGAGAGAGAGAAAGAAAGAAAGAAAGGGAACGAGGCAAGGCCAAGTTATATACAGGCAAGTTTGAAAGATTGTTGGATGTATGGCTTGCTGGTCTACCCGATATAAGTAACTGAGCAAGAAGGCTCACCGATGCAAGCGAGTTTAAAGGAAAGGATGAAACTGGAAATTGATTGGAGAGTTTTGGTCAAGAAGTTACGAGGTGTTTTAGTGCAGGATGGGTTTCTGAAGCGGAACTTCAACCATGGCGCGCAAGAATAAGGAAGTTTGACGAGCAGAGGACGGTGCATCATCCGGATTAACAGGATCGAGAACGATGCCGAGCTGATGGGTTGATGCTGATGGAATAAAGAACGAGTTGTGCGCAAACTTTTACAGTCTAATAAACAGCAACTCGGTTTTCTTTTGGCCCGATGGAGACCCCAGTCCGGCGATATTAATATCAAAAATGCGTCCTGCTTGAGAAGACAGCTTGCTGGCGCTCCAAGTACAGCCCAACAAAAGAGCCCTGATCAGAAGAAGCCTGATGGGCTCTAAGGTTCAGATTCAAGGTAAACACATTTCGTCCTCATCCCAAGAGGTGCAGAGGCGGGCGATTGTTGGAGAAGAATTGAATTGGAAACGAGGAGCCGAAAAAACATCAGGCGATGATCTGGACGAGCGGATATATCAGCTGAAACGCTGCCAGAGTCTTGAATCTTGGACCAGCTTGGTTTGGAGAAGCGTAGACTGAAGTACAAGGAGAATCTTCTTGAGCTTCAATCAGTCGCTCAAACGACAGCCAGACTGACTCGATGGTCTTTCTTACAGATCAGTTCCAATAAAAGCTTCCTCATGGTACATACATAGACCATCCAAGTAAGGAATTATCAGCATCATCATCAGCCCATCATCAGGACTCGGAGAAGATAATATGGTGTCATCAAGTTATCATCAGCAGTAAGTATCATCATCCTTAATCCGATCATTCCAATGCCAGAATTATCAATTCTTGTGGAGAGAGTGTTATGATTGATGCTAATCGAGTATATCAAAAAAAAAGAAAAGAAAAGAAAAGAAAAGAAAAGAGGATCGCTACGGAAAAAAAAAAGAAGAAGCAGAAGCAGAACGAGAAACGCCAAGCTGCTGCTACTAACCTAGATCTCGTGGCAGTACGCTTGATTATAAGTTTTGTTGTTTGAGCCAAAATGAGGGGCCAGCGAGATTTCACGCGGGGTACAATCTGATCAGGTGGTGGTCTGAACTGGGCTGGAGGATTTCGGGAGACGGGAACAGAGTTTGAAGGGGCCAGCGTATTTATGATTGATGGTGAATTAGCTCCAAGTTATTAAATATGATATCCGTACAAAATTGGGTTGGTTGTTTGTTTGTTTTTGACATGAGGAATGCAGCATCTTTAGGTTCGTCGGTTTGGATTCCTCTGGCTGGTTGGATGAAGGATATGTATCTAGATTGACCATCAATCACTCCAGCTTCTCTCTCTCTCTCTTAAATCAAGCCAGGAGTGTTGAGAGCCTCTACAAGCCTCATGACATGCGCCGCTTCATCCCAGGTGAAAAAAGATGATATCTAAATATCTATGCATATCTCTGTAAAAAAAAAAGAATGTTTAGATTAAAAAAGTATGTAAAGGAAACATCGAATGGGATGGAATTCGTAACCAGGAGGAGCTGGCATGTGAGAGCTCAGGATTGGGTAGGTGGGATTGACCTTTGACAGTTCGAAAGGCTATCAAGAAACAACGTCTTTGACTCTAGACTATGTAACCCCTGCGCTTCCGCCTGATCTTGCAAAAACAAGTGCCAACCAAAGCTCTCCTCCTCCTCCCTTCCCCCTTCACCAAAAGCTTCGTTTAGATCCAATGCTCTCAACTCCCAACTGACAAGACTACCCGGTCTGGCAAGTCGAGAATCGTGCTCGATAGGGCCCATGTGTTTAGACACACCTCCCAACTTGGCTCGATCGACATGTCCTCGGTGTAATATGATGGTATATGTGATGTAAGGAACATTGCCACCCCCCGGCAGTCTAGCCCCAGTCCCAGACCCTTGGCTTTGGGGTATGTATGTGACCAAAAGTCAAAAAATTTATGTAAGTAATCAGAGAAAAAAAAACATCGCTGTTAGCTACTCGACGAGTCGACAGTCTGAAGCGGGCATATCAAACAGGTGCAATTTTAGCTCAACTTGCAGGGGTCTATCTGTGTATGAGCTTCTTGCTTTTGAGCTGCGGCCAGCGTAAATAAAGCACCTTTCTTCTTCCCACTGGTCCATTGGGCTTGAGATCGCAGCCGGGGCCATCGTCCAAACTTCATGAGCTTCTAGTGATTTTTCCTTTTGTACACACCACAGCTTTGGCCAGAGTCAGAAACAATTCAAGTCAGCCTATGCAGGTCATCGTGAAGAAAAGGAATGTTCCGAATACATATTTTGCAATCTTCATCTGATCATGTCCGATCAGCTGATGGACTGAACAGTGCGCTATTTACGTGATCACGACGTAATTACTTCCAAAAAAAAAAAAAAAAAACCAGAGCCGGCAATTCTCGATCGGGTGACTCATATTGAGCTTGCAGGTTTTTTTTGCAGGGTTTTTCTTTCTTTAAAAAAAGGTGGTGGTGATGAGGGTGTTGCAATATAAATGTATGCTGGATCTCGCAGATATCAAGATGAAAATGTGACTGCCGAGCCCCATCGACTGTCGGGTTGGAAGAACTTGCCTTGTGTCATGATGGTCTTCAGTGTGTGTGTGGTGTGTGTGTGTATGTGATGGTCTTCCATGCAGAGAGCGGTTGTCCAGCCAGCTTGAACGTTCCCTAAACACGCTTCCAGCTGTCCATCTGTCATTCTTCATGAGGCTTGCTCAGCATGGAGAAAGACTGAAGATCGCCTCTGGAAGTTCCCTCATCTGCTTCTGACAGGTTGGCCATCATGCAGTGTACCCCAGCGAATCGTAGCGGCTCTTGGTCTTCACATATGTACGAATTTGCCCCACAGTGCTTTCTGAAAACAACAACTCGACGCGATCAAGTTACCAGTCTCTTCTCTATCTTTTATTCCTGCTTCCTCATCTCCTGATGAAATAAAAAACGATCGGACTTCTTAAAAACAATAACCATCGGACGGCTTTCTGATTATCTCATCTTCATTAAGCGACTTAGCAATCAAGCTACCACTACCAGTCTCCTCTCTATCTGTCATTCCGGCTTCCTCATCTACTGATGAAAAAATAACAAACGATCGGAGGGCTTAGTGCTAATCTCATCTTTGTTTAGTGAACTAGATACCGGTCTCATCTCGTTAACTTGTTCTCAGTCATTGTTCTCTCAATAACTAGTCCTCAGATCTTGTTCTCTCTTTTTGCTTCTTCAATGACTTGTGAATAAAATTCAATACATCGGTTGCAGTTGTTTGTTTTGATCTCACCTATATCTACATACAGCCAACCCACAAAGGCTTGCAACTTTCGTTTGCAAAAAATAAAAAAAATTGTTGCCAAGAAATAAAAATTTGTGAGATTCTTAGCTGTAGCTGTCATGAAAGCTGCATTTGAACAAGGAGGTACATACATACACTACGGGTGCTGGGGTTCGAAACATTTCCGAAGTTCGTTCGGAAATGTTTCGAAATATGCGCCCGCAGGGGCGGACGTCCTGGACCTTGGTCCAGGTACATTTCGAAATGTGATTCGAAAGCGATTCCGATGGTCTTTCGAAGACCTTCCGATACATTTTCGAAAGACTTTCGAAGTAATTACGAAATTCTGTGGTTTCGAAATTGACTCCGAAGCGCTACTTCGGAATGCTTCCGAGAGAGTTTCGAAAGAATTTCGTAATAATTGGAGGGTTTCGAAACTTTTTCCGAACTGTTACAGTTCTGCAATGGCGCTCTCCGCTGGCTTTTAGATCGACACCCTTGTCTCTTATAAGGGTTGTCCCGTTCTTACATCTTCAGTTGTATTGATCATTCATTCTCAATCATGTATCTCTGAGTCTTACAAGTTTGTATTTCTGCTTGTATGTACATATAATGGAGAAAAAAAATACAAAAGAAAAAGCAAAAAAAGATACCATAAACATTTCACTTCGATCGATCAATTCAGGATTGAAATGAAAGAAACGATAAAAAACGATAATATAAATCAATCAATTGGATTGAAATGAAATGAAAGAAAGGATAAAAAACAGGTGCTATCATTGAAGTGATCGCAGAGGAAGCTGAACAGGCGGATATGTTGGGCGCTCGCAGGTTAGAATACAATTCGCGTCTCTTTCCATGATTTACCTCAAATTGAATTCGCTTGGACTCAGGGTACAGTACGATAAGTCTATTCAAGATGGCAGTGAACTCGTGATCAGAACTTTGTGGGATGCAGTGATGATGGGTAAGATGACGAGACTTATATTTAGTTGTCTGTTTGGTAAGATGGAGCGATAGACAACTCCTTAGAGGAGTCAAAAAGCCAGTAGATCGACTAGGGGTAATGAGGGGATATGGATTCATCTGCTAAAGAAGAAAGAGAGGAGGAAGCAGAAGATGCAGATGAGATGGATTTGCTAAAGAAGAAGAAGGGGAGGACTCGGAGGATGCAGAGGATATGGATGAGAAGAGATGCGGCAGAGGTGGAAGGAGAGCCAGGAGAGGATGTCCTTTTCATCTGAAGGACGGGTTGGTCGAAACCTCTCGAAGTTTGAACACTGTTGGAACACCTTTCGAACACTTTTCGAAAGCAATTTCGAAAGATGCCAACTTTTATCGAAATGTCTTTCGAAGACAGCTTCGAAAGTTGCGTTTAAGGTTTTGATCCGGCACAATCCGCATAAAAACCGGAAATGTGTCAGATCAAAACCTTAAACACAAAATATCGGAATCTTTTCGATATTTTTTGCGGAACTTTTGTAAAAATTTCGAAATTTTTACGAAAGCCGCTTCGAACTTCATGTTTTGAAACTCTTTCGGAGCGAAACCTTAAAAGCACCCCCGTAGTGTAAGTACATATACCTTGTTCAAATATATGTGTTCAGCTAGGTTCTGTTCAAAAGTTTTGACATCTGCAGGGAACATCACACCAAAAAAAAAATTCCGGTGGATTTATTTTTATTTTTTGCAACCAAAAGTTGCAAGCTTTTCTGGGTTAGCTGTATCACTACGCATAACACAAGATGATCGATCGGTCTTGCCTGGCATGACAGATCACCGATTCAACAAAAAGCAGATCACTGATTCAACAAAAAGAGCCAGCAAACAGGGCAGGTCAAATCAATCATTTGACCTGCCTGATCTTTTTGGGTGAAGTTCATCTCCACAAGAGACCGGACATAGACTGAGCTCTGATTGATTGAACCAGAGGGAAACATCAAGAGATATGTATTAGCAAAATACAAAAGGAAACACAAGCGACCTGGTTTAGTTTAAGAGCATGCAATCCGGTGAGCGATGAAAACACTTTTGATTCACACAAGCAGGGACAGAAGCTGTTTGTGTAGGACAAAGCCAGACAAGATAGAGTCGTGAGGACAGTTGATTGAGAGTTTCAGATAAAAGATAGATAAGTAAGTGATCATCGAGACAGTCCATATGACCAAGCCAAACAAAGCAGTAAGAGATCCTTCAGACAGTCAAGAACAGCAGAGAAAGGAATCAATCAATGTAGCCACATCCTCTGAACAGCTTCCTCATCAAGGACGCTGTGAACACATAGCGTACATGAGATTCAATGATTTCCCCATCTTCAAAACTACCATCTAGACGACCATATCGTCGAAGCGAGGCCTTCAAGACACTGAATCCTTTCTCGATTGGATTCATGTCAGGCGAGTATGGAGGGAGATAAACAATTCGACAACCACGGGCTTCTACAAGGTCATGAATTCTTCCATTATGGTGAAACGATGCATTATCCAAGACTAGAACACTCCGAGGCCCAGGGAACGGATTCATCATTGGCAACTGTTTGATAGCCCAGGTTAGAGAAAGAATGCCAAAAAAGATGATGAGTTGTTGAATCAGACTTACCAGGATGTGTTCCAAATAGAACTCATAGCCATCTCGGCACATGTTTTCCTCTTGAACCAAAGCTGTCACTAGACCGTCCAAAGCCACAGCAGGGATGACATTGAAACGATGTCTTGCACGTGCTACTGGCATTCGAGAGGTCCTTTCACCTAGGGGTGCCCATCCGATTGTTCGTCGGACCCCATCACTACATATGCCACACTCGTCTAAAGGAAGCTGCTTGGTCAGTGGATCACTAACAGCTACAATCAAGATGAGCCCTTACCGGTAAAGACCAAGGATTGGGGGCTGTGATGTGCAATCAAACCAACATAAGCACCTCGCTTACAAATGTCCTGTCTCGGGTTGACCTTCTGCATCGTCTTTCGAGACATCCTCAGTCGGTTGTGAAGCTCATTCGAGATTGTTTGCAAGGACACATGTACATTTCGGTTTACAAGCAGAGATTGCTGTATTTCTTCTAAATAGATAGTCGGATCCGAGGTAACCAGGGCCAAAAGGAATCGTCTTTCTTCATCCGATAATGCGATTGGACTCCCTCTTGTTGCATAGGTAGCCGGATCACATACAACCGATCTGGTCTTTTCGTATAAATTTGTCCAGCGTCGAAGGGAATCAGCACTGACGGTTGTGTTATTCTGGATGTTGAAATCATCCAAGCTTTGGCCGTCAAGCGAAGCTTTGACCACCAAGAACTTGTATGCCGATCTATAATTGACAAATGGCATGGATAAACTGTAGGAAAAGTGTAGAAAAAGTCACATGAATCAGCAGGCAAACAGAATCAAAGTGAGCTATGCAGCAGAAACACTTACAATTTCCGTTTGGTTGGGCAAAGATGTGAGGGAGGGAATGATTTAGGAGGCCAGTATTTTGGAGGGAATTGATGAGTGTTGGTCCGGTCGGATGTATGCATATAATCCAGCTAGTGACCCACTAGTTCATACTTACCTCCTAATTCAAATGCAGCTGTCTAGAATGACAGCTGCCGGGAAGAAATCTGCAATATTTTTTTTTTATGCAGGCTCAAATTTTTAGTTTTTCTTGCAAAAGTTGCAAGCTTTTTTGGGTATGCTGTAATAGGATGGGCCTGGATGGGCGCATTCATATATGCATTTATGCGCGAACTTCCTAGCTGCTCTTGACACTTACAGCGACCAACTCCATGTCTCAGCTTTAATCCATGAACCCTGCAACCATCTGTCCCGAAGGAATTTTGGATTTCGATTTGAATATGATTTAAACAAATTAAGTTTCCCTTTGAAGGGCTTGGTGTGCTTAGAAATGGAGAAAAAAACATACTCACATCTTTGCGGGAAGGAGCTGAGAGGCATATGAGGTCAAAGCGATGTGATGTTAGACAGTTAGAGCTCGAAGGGCCTAGCGAGTTGGGGCATCAGGTTAAAACACACCATGCTGATTTGGGTAAGGCAAAATCAAAATTTCTTTGTGGATTAATGTGGCAAATCACATTTTGACCCTTTCATTCCAATATCCTGTTTTTACAGGAGAGGAAAAGATAGCAGAGATCGAGTCCAATTGTGGATGCAGCCATTTGCCTCTCTCCTGAGCTCAACACAGACGCAAGCAGACAAGTTAAGGTGGCAACCCGGCACCCCGGGTCGGGTAGTGGCTAACCCCGCACTCATACCAGGCATGCCTGAAGCCGGAGAAGAGTACAACGGATCTTTTTTTCCACACAGGCTGCCAGACATTGAGTCTTGACCATTTGAAATTTCTGAACCAAGATTCTTGGTCAATTCTTGCAAGATGCCATCAAAACATACCAACAATGAAGTTGAGGGCCAGTACACTAACAGCAATCCTGAACCAGACTCCAAACCAGCGATGCATGCTGAAACCAATACCACATGAAACACCAACTCAGGATGAAATTGTGACTAAGAGGAGTTGGGTTCACGCATACTTCAAGACAACCACGTCCAACAGAGGGGTCCCTTTCAATGCTTTTCAGGCAGCAAATTGAGATGGGGCAGTCTGGTGCAGACACCTAGTGGTTGACAAAAAATTCAACCAAAAGTATGTCAACTCACTTGGATTTCAGACATCACCTATAGAAAGGGAAACTGGAGGTCAATGGAATCACCAAATTCCCTGCAAAATGCATTATGAGGACACTTGAATGCACCTCCCTGAGGCTGACCTTGGCCACCACTGGGAAGTTACATGTGTTGCAATATCCAGAGGGCTTTCTGTAACATGACTTCCCAGCTGTCCAGATAATGTGGTTAGTGTTATTCAGACAAACTGGTTTTTGGGCCAAAAGTAACATAACAAAGGGGATTTCCCCCCCTCTTTATGAAGAAAAATAACACAATTGACATGTAATCTGTGTCTTATTCCTTTTTATTCATTTTTATCCACCTTTAGTGGATAATGTAATGACAAAAATATGTGAAAAAAAGAAAGGCTGTTGCGGTTTGTAACACTAATGGCCAAGATTCTGTTGTTATCTTTATATTACTGTTATGGGTAGATTAACCTCCCAGTGTGTCCTTGGCCATCACTCACTTGTTTGTCACATCCAATGTTTCTTTCCAGGTTATTGGTGACAGCAATGTCCACCAATTGCTTTGGCTCTGCAACCCCAAAGTTAATCAATTTATTTGCTCCAAAGAGTCATATTTCATGTTCAGAAATTGGTTCACCAGGAGAAGAAAGTCCTTTGTGATCAACACCATCAAATTCATTCACAGATCAGCCTGATCTGCAACATGTGGACTTCCCCCAAAATATATTCTGTACTTGGGGCAATGATGGGCCGCTACACTATGCTACGGTAAACAGCCCACCAAATTTAGTATAGCGGCCCTCAAAACAGTGCCCCAAACCTGTAGTGTTAGCGCACTGTTAGTGCCACTACACTACACTACACCAATGGTGGGCCAGCTATGCTAAACTTAGCATTAGTGTAGCTTAAATATGCTAATTTTTAGTGTAGCTTAAATATGCTAATTTTTAGTGTAGCGTTAGTGCAATTCCACAAATATGTGCTAGCACTACAGGCAAAGGGGGAAAAATCCCCTGAAATTTGGTGTAGCATTAGCTCACATTTGTGGAATCATGCTAACACTACACCAACAGGGTGCAAATATGCACCCACTACACTGCATTTGAGCAATTTTTAACGGCTTTTGGCATTTTTTGTCTATAAAATTAAAACAGGTTTCTCTTGGGGATCAATAATCCTGGCTGCTTGAATTTTGGAGGGAGGTCACTCAGGAGCACTGCCAAAGCAATTGTGTCAGATAGCCCAGAGCTGTATCTGTGATTATATCAGATATCACTACAAGAAAACCTTGAGAAACTGCTGGCAGTTGACATCCAAAGACTTTGCTGATTCTTTTTCTTCAACTCAAATCTTACTCAGTGCTTACTTTGGTCAAACTTTGATGCACAGTAACTGTGCATATTGCACAGTGACTTTGCAGAAGGCATTGCTCTGGGATACCCAGTGGTTTCAACAAAGTTGATACTGGAGTATCCTGCATGCCAACTGATACCTGTGACCTATGATTTTCTTGCAGTGTATCTTCATGTGATGTTTCATGAGTTTGAGTGCCTGATTTAATATACAAAAATTGAATCAGACAATTCAACTTGATTTAATATACAAAAATTGAATCAGACAAGATTTAAAATCACATAAAAATGTCTGATATAATCACAGATACAGCTCTCTGATCAATTTTGGTGTATGTGCAGCAAATAAATTGTGTCAGATGGTTGTATCAATGATTATATCAAATGTTTTTGTGTGATTTTACA